ATCGTTGCTCATAATGTCAATCACTGGATGGTCTGGTCCAGACTAGAATATTGACAGACCGCCGCCATATAGTTGGAATGTACGGCGTTCAACAACAATCCAACCAACCAATTATGTAGCGTCGATCTGGAATAATGGCATGTTGTTCACAACACGTGTATATCCATGGCAACTGATACTTGTACAGAAATACTAATGTTTCAGAAATATTGTTTTATATCTGAACAGTGGGTAAAATACAAGATATGTTAACTGATGATCGTATTGAGATACTAGTATTTGAGATCTGGAAAGTGGTAAAACTATATAGTTTATATTTACTTTGCCATAAATGGGGTTCGGTGTGTATGTCGTGTGTATGATGTTTAATGGCCGCATGGCGTCCGACTGAAAACAATCCAGTTTGAGCAGGACTGTGACGAAACTGACACCATGGACATTAGTCCACACAGTTGGGATATGGGACATGGGCCGGAGCACCTGTTCAGGTTCAAGTATAATTTGCTGAGGACCTATATCCTAGCCAGTAACTCCCCACATCACATTGTTGGACAGTGCCAGAATGTCCCCTCTGTGTTGATGATTCCATTAAAATGTTTCCATTTCCAAAAGGTGCATACTGCTTTCAGTTTCCTTTCAAAAGAGGTTTTCCTAGAAACTAGTTATGACGGTACAAAAGTTTATAACCCAATTATGTTTTTGCTTTACAACACTTAACGAATACATGACTAACATCATTCAATCAGAAATGTTGCATTTGTGTTGAATAATTCAGGAATGACCAACATTTTTGAAAATCATTTCCTCCAAACTGTTTGTGTCCTAAGATTCGGATCTTGGCAATATTTGGCAATGTTTGCGCGTTGCTGCATGGTTTTATTGGTCAGATGTTTTATATGTGCGTTGGTATGGTTAGATCACATATTCAAAGGTTATTTAAGTTCATAGGTTTGGGTACATGTGAATTACAGGTACAATACTCCCCAGCACTCTCCAGCATTTCTACGACTGAAACTGGTTTAGTGGTGAGGCTGGGTAATTAGTATTCATCATAACCTGTGCTGATCTGCCTGATCCCGGCTAGAGTTAAGTACACTCCACCACGGTGTGACGTGATCTGCCTGACTCCACCACGGTGTGACGTGATCTGCTGCCTGATCCCGGCTCGAGTTAAGTACCCTCCACCACGGTGTGACGTGATCTGCCTGATCCCGGCTCGAGTTAAGTACCTCCACCACTGTGTGACGTGATCTGCCTGATCCCGGCTCGAGTTAAGTACACTCCACCACGGTGTGACGTGATGTGCCTGATCCCGGCTCGAGTTAAGTACCCTCCACCACTGTGTGACGTGATCTGCCTGATCCCGGCTCGAGTTAAGTACGCTCCACCACGGTGTGACGTGATCTGCCTGATCCCGGCTCGAGTTAAGTACGCTCCACCACGGTGTGACGTGATGTGCCTGATCCCGGCTCGAGTTAAGTACGCTCCACCACGGTGTGACGTGATCTGCCTGATCCCGGCTCGAGTTAAGTACGCTCCACCACGGTGTGACGTGATCTGCCTGATCCCGGCTCGAGTTAAGTACACTCCACCACGGTGTGACGTGATCTGCCTGATCCCGGCTCGAGTTAAGTACACTCCACCACGGTGTGACGTGATCTGCCTGATCCCGGCTCGAGTTAAGTACGCTCCACCACGGTGTGACGTGATCTGCCTGATCCCGGCTCGAGTTAAGTACACTCCACCACGGTGTGACGTGATCTGCCTGATCGCGGCTCGAGTTAAGTACGCTCCACCACGGTGTGACGTGATCTGCCTGATCCCGGCTCGAGTTAAGTACACTCCACCACGGTGTGACGTGATGTGCCTGATCCCGGCTCGAGTTAAGTACGCTCCACCACGGTGTGACGTGATCTGCCTGATCCCGGCTCGAGTTAAGTACGCTCCACCACGGTGTGACGTGATCTGCCTGATCCCGGCTCCAGTTAAGTACGCTCCACCACGGTGTGACGTGATCTGCCTGATCCCGGCTCGAGTTAAGTACGCTCCACCACGGTGTGACGTGATCTGCCTGATCCCGGCTCGAGTTAAGTACTCGAGCTCCACCACGGTGTGACGTGATCTGCCTGATCCCGGCTCGAGTTAAGTACACTCCACCACGGTGTGACGTGATCTGCCTGATCCCGGCTCGAGTTAAGTACACTCCACCACGGTGTGACGTGATCTGCCTGATCCCGGCTCGAGTTAAGTACACTCCACCACGGTGTGACGTGATCTGCCTGATCCCGCCTGATCGAGTTAAGTACACTCCACCACGGTGTGACGTGATCTGCCTGATCCCGGCTCGAGTTAAGTACACTCCACCACGGTGTGACGTGATCTGCCTGATCCCGGCTCGAGTTAAGTACGCTCCACCACGGTGTGACGTGATCTGCCTGATCCCGGCTCCAGTTAAGTACACTCCACCACGGTGTGACGTGATGTGCCTGATCCCGGCTCGAGTTAAGTACACTCCACCACGGTGTGACGTGATCTGCCTGATCCCGGCTCGAGTTAAGTACACTCCACCACGGTGTGACGTGATCTGCCTGATCCCGGCTCGAGTTAAGTACACTCCACCACGGTGTGACGTGATCTGCCTGATCCCGGCTCGAGTTAAGTACGCTCCACCACGGTGTGACGTGATCTGCCTGATCCCGGCTCGAGTTAAGTACACTCCAGTTGAGTACACTCCACCACGGTTAAGTACGCTCCACCACGGATGACGTGCCTGATCCCGGCTCGAGTTAAGTACACTCCACCACGGTGTGACGTGATCTGCCTGATCCCGGCTCGAAGTTAAGTACGCTCCACCACGGTGTGACGTGATCTGCCTGATCCCACGCTCGAGTTCTGCCTGAGTACACTCCACTCCACCACGGTGACGTGATGTGCCTGATCCCGGCTCGAGTTAAGTACGCTCCACCACGGTGTGACGTGATGTGCCTGATCCCGGCTCGAGTTAAGTACGCTCCACCACGGTGTGACGTGATCTGCCTGATCCCGGCTCGAGTTAAGTACACTCCACCACGGTGTGACGTGATCTGCCTGATCCCGGCTCGAGTTAAGAACTCTCCACCACGGTGTGACGTGATCTGCCTGATCCCGGCTCGAGTTAAGAACACTCCACCACGGTGTGACGTGATGGGGCAGGAAACATTCGGTAGAAAACTCACTGTTATTCTCCTCACGACCGTCCTGTTCATCAGGAATGCCAGCGGCGCTGATTTCAGAGAGAAGTATATTTTCAGTTCCAGGTTAAAGGAAGCGGAAATACATCTTTCTATGTGGCTGAGTTACGTTTCCGTATGAAATATACTAGTCAAAAGAAGACAGGGACCAACCTATTATTTCATAGTACTGCAGTTAATCACTTCATGAATGAATCGGGCAGACCTTAATTGTTTTCAGCAGAATAGGTAACTATCCTTATCAAACGTCGAGTAGCGTAAACAGGGCAATACCAGGTTCACTTTTTAGAGCTTGGTGCTGTTGTACAAAGCAATGTTAGCGCTAAGGTGATCGCAACTCCCATACCTTAACACAGGTTAACAGTAGTCGTAGCCCTGAGGTTGTTTTGTACAACGGCACCATGAGCTGTAATGACTCTAGCTTGTAGTTCTGCCATTACTTTTGCACTATTTCACAAGAATTAACATTGTAGTGTTAAGCAAGAAACTTCAGTAAAATACATTAAAACTGAAAAAAAATATTTTTATGAACTATGCTTCTAAACCAAACACTCACTTCACGGGTTTGACAATTGTGCGTGGTGAAGACGCGGAGAAGCGACAAGGCATTTTTCGCCATTTTGCTGGTTTTATTTAACGTATTTACTTGTAACAACTTCTTGCGTCTGAACGACTGAATATACTGTGGCTTTTACGTTCTTTGTTACCTCTGCCTTTCTTATAGTCCACGAATAGATGAAGAAAACTATAAAATAAGACCTTGAAAACTTGTCATTATTTATTAAGAATAGGAATCATTTGAACGTTGCACTTTTGGGAATCGAATCTCGATTTTCAAGTCAGTTTGAACATCGGGCTACCAGAACCTACTTATAATTGAAAGGTACTCAAAAGAAGTAAGGACCACGTGATTCTTTAATATTACCACAGTTAAGCTGTCATGCCACAACAGGGATATGAAAGAATCGGGTGGTAACTTCTTTGGAATAGTATAAATAAGCCTTTTGGGGTGCATTATTCACAAAGCGTTCGAAGCACTACGCCATTCGCTAGGACTAGGACATCTAATCCAGTCCGGCGTACTGGCGTTCATTTCTGAACCCAAACTGTAACGGTTGTCGTATAAGCAGCACATCACAACAGGAATACATTTTGTCTATCATTTTTCTCTTTTGTGGGGATCTCACAACAACCACGGGGTAATGCGACCCATAAGTTCCAACGGTCGTTTAGATAAACCCAGTAAATCAAGTATTTTATTTTAATTCTTTTTATTATAGGATATTTATATAGCGCACATATCCACGCACTAGTGCATGCTTAATGCGCTGGTATTTTTTCCCTCGATCATTGGATGTCAATCTCAACGGCACATCGCATTATCAATCTCAACTCCCTGGGGAGTATACAACTCTTGCAGCCACTAGGCGCACCGAGTTATTGTGGCTTTCTCATCCTAAGTACTGGCGTGCACAATTATACACGACCATAATCTCCGATTATCCATCTGACGTCTACAGATTATCTTCCTCAGATGTTTCTGCCGACTATTTTTACCTATCCCTACGTCGTCAACACAGGAGACTAAATACTTTGACGACAGGGAAGTGTCAATGGAACAATCTCTTAATGTGTCAGGGATGGTTTATCGCTGATTTACGTCGAATCAAAATGGTTAGCAATAAACAACAAAGGTGAGCTTCAGGACCTAACTCCGTTTGTTACACTTGAACCGGTCGTTCGTGAATATTGCTGAATGAATTGTATAGATTATTCACAATAATGATTTATTGTACAAAATACACTGAATGATTACAAATATGTAGTCCAGATGTTTAGGTGGTGCATTCCTTTGGGGGTATGAAAACTTCCGGATCCGATATACCGAGGGTGATATCAAAGAAACTGGAAACAGAGAAGACACTTTGTTCATCATGGGATCATTTATTAATAAGTGTACCGATATAACACACATCTGTGCTGGGAGTGAACCGCCAGTATACCGTTATCTTGGCGGAGCGGTATATGCCGCTAACCTTTTGTAACTTCGAGTGATATTCGCCCATTCCAGACAACCGAAGTCCGCCTTTAACAACAGTTATTATATAAATTCCGCCGATTATATTCGATTTCTCCATACACAATGTTCGCCATCCTCATTCACATTAAACAACAAGCAAGTGATTCTATACCACGTTAGGAGTTGGTGAACTACTGGTCAAATAAGATCATTGATAATAGGCATTTTAAATGCGTCATTATAACTGTGGTCGATATTGTTGAAGTGGAACACTCACTTTCTGATTACGCCCCCAGTCTGGTTGCTGTAAAATCCGGCCTGGATGGGGATACAGTCAGTCGCGCTTACCGTCAAGAAGTAAGGATCTGAAAGCCCACAGTCATTCTTATCAGAATCGTATTCAGATTATCAACCATTAAAAGGTTACCTAATGAACGTTTATCCCAAAGACGTTTAAAGGGTTTTAATCATGAGAACTGGGAAGCACGGACACGTGCACATACGGCTGCACATTTCGATACGTAACATCGCAAAAAAGTAGGCTATGGAAAAATAATGACAATTATTATGGATATACAACTTCTTTTATTCTGTGGAGGCGACGTTTCGACATAGGTTCTAATGTCGTTGTCAAGCAAGTGATACATGAGTAACAAATTGAGAGAATATATACAGGAGTTGTTGTTACAGTAGATAGGGAATGAGTTGTTTATACAATAGATGAGGTTGATGTACAACGTTTGTATGAGAGATTGAGTAAATTGATAGGAAGCCAATAGGGTTACTGAATTAGAGCTTATACAACTGATAGGAAGCCAGTAGGGTGACATACAAGGACTGAATTAGAGCTTATACAACTGATAGGAAGCCAGTAGGGTGACATACAAGGACTGAATTAGAGCTTATACAACTGATAGGAAGCCAGTAGGGTGACATACAAGGACTGAATTAGAGCTTATACAACTGATAGGAAGCCAGTAGGGTGACATACAAGGACTGAATTAGAGCTTATACAACTGATAGGAAGCCAGTAGGGTGACATACAAGGACTGAATTAGAGCTTATACAACTGATAGGAAGCCAGTAGGGTGACATACAAGGACTGAATTAGAGCTTATACAACTGATAGGAAGCCAGTAGGGTGACATACAAGGACTGAATTAGAGCTTATACAACTGATAGGAAGCCAGTAGGGTTATAGACATACAAGGACTGAATTAGAGCTTATACAACTGATAGGAAGCCAGGTGGATGTTTATACAATGGATGGGGTTGATGTACATAGTTGGAATGAAACAGGTAATGTACACAAGAAATATCATTGATTACTTTATCAAGTGATGGTAGGCATTGTAGCATCCTTCAGTTGTATATAATAATTGTCATTATTCTTCATCAACTCAACTTCTAAAATGCCTATCAAAGAAGTCAAAGTAGGCTTTTGACAAAATCGCAAAAAGTAGGTACGTCAAGTTCTAATCGGTCGACATAAATATGGTCCATGTAACATCAAAACTGGATCACTTTCAGGGGGGCGGATCAAGACCTTTAACATGAGAGGGGTGTAGGGTGTGTGTGACACATATATATTGAAGTCCAACGGGGAAATGCTCAACAGGAATAAATAAATTCGTCTGGGAAAGCAAACAACAACAATAAAAACAACACTGTCAAGTCGATACACACATATGAATACAGTTGGAAGCATCTCTCGTGTTAGTCGATACATCTCTCTCTCTCTCTCTCTGGATTTATATAATATGCATAAGTGAAATGTTTTTCATAAGAATTCGATACATCCAGACCATATGAATACAGTTGGAAGCACCGTCTGTGTTAGTCAGATATGAAGTAACAATACAGCGGACCAGTGGCCAATTTCACAAAGCTATCGTAGCGCTACGACTGTCGTACGTCTACGCTAAAGTATGGGAGTTACGATCATCCTAGCGCTACGACCGCTTTGTGAAATAGGCCTCAGGCCATCGGTATGATGAATACAAAGCGAGTAGCGCTTCCCTAGTAAAAATGGTAACTCACTGTTGTCATCGACGCCGTTAAAGATGTTGACGATGACGTGTTCATCGGGAACCCCAGAAGCGCCAATGTCACCAGTCCCATTGAACATAGCGTCTGGGGGGACGCCGAATGGAATCCACGGGCGGCTCACGCCAGTCACGTTGCATTGCCGGGTACGTACATTAACTCTGTACTCCTTGTTCTGGGGAAGAATATATTAAGTGACAAAAGGTCGGTGGGGTGGATTTCAGACTGCTCTGGGTAGTAGTTCACCCATGTACGATAACGGGATCGGGTGGCCAGGCTTAGTTGACACATGCCTCGTATCCCAATGTGAGATCGATGTTGATGCTGTTGATCACTTGATTGTCTGGTCCAGACTCGATGATTTAGAGACCGCCGCCATATAGCTGGAATATTGGGGAATGCGGCGTTAAGAAATAAACCAACCAACCCAATTGCGTAGATCGATGCCCATGTTGATCACTGAATTGTCTGGTCGATTATTTACAGACGGTCACCATAGAGTTGGACTATTGCTGAGTGCGGTGTTAAACAATAAACAAACTATTCGTTAAACAACAAAGAAGGAGAAGTATATCCCGAACAAAGGTATGAACACAGGTATGAACACAGGTATGAACACAGGTATGAACAAAGATATGTGACTCACCTCGTTGAAAAGGAAGAGCCTGTCGAAGTAGTCCACGTCACGGCCCACGTCAACCTCCTCACTCTCGCGGACCCTTCTCTGTCTGTCGTCATAGGCGAAACGGGCGGAGGAGAAAAATCTTCTGTCTGGGTCGAACTGGAATGTGTAAATCCTTAAGTGAGACAAGTGTCTGCAAGGCGATACAAATAATATGACGTTATAGGCAGGTCTGCTTCACTCGTTACTAGATATGTAAGATACGAATTTATTAATTTCATCCTTTTTATATACTGAGAGAAACAAATAAAGGAACACGGAAAAATTCAAGCGTTCCTTTAATATTTTCCAGCTTTCATCATCAGCTTTGAATAGCTGAGAGTAAATAACGGAACACTGACATGAAGTGGTGTTCCGTTATTTGTTTCCCTCAGTATATATACCCAAACGGTTGACAAATGCATTCTTTAAACGCATCAGAATCAATACGTTAACTGGTTTTCATTTCAAACTTCAAATTGATTATCTAATAGAAAGGGACTGAACACGAGGCTGCGTTGTTCACACACATTCTACAGGTGTTTAAATGTTTATTGACGCGCCGGTGCTTTTGGTTGGGTCGTTTTGGATTCTATAGAATTTATCAAAATGTGAACATGAATTGGCATCACTCACTGTAACAACCCGGCCTTCGAACTCTTCGGGGCTTCCTGAAGAAACAAATCAACATCAGACGAACTATTAGTCTTGAAAAATTTAAGTAGTCTTTAAACGCACAAACTTTGGAACTAAATACATCATCATTAGCTGCTAGAGTGATAAGCAATATTTTAACTATCCCCCAGATAATGCGGTATTTGATCTTGATTAACATTTGGCCGTATTGGCCTGATTTTAACACCCCTTTAAAACGTAAAATTTCTCAAGTGTCTAATTCTTGATTTTGTCACAGTGATTATCGAGATGGTTTATAAGCGTCAGGGAAGTAGTTCGGCAGGCAGTTCTACTCACGGCAAGGATGTGGCAGTTGTGCCAAGGTGACGACACAGAGGAGAGCCAGAGAGACAATCAGCAACATGGCGGCGTATTCAGAGCACGGGGTGTGGAAGATAGGAATGTTTCAAATGCATTTATACTGCATGTGATGACCCCGGTCTTATCTTACAGTCTTTCACGACATGATGGTATTTTTTAAACTTGTCTCGTGGATTAAATAGTGAGTGCATGCTGTGTAGAATGTATAGCAATATTCACTTGCAGTTCAGCTTGAATCAACCCGTGAAGATCCGGGTTAGAATTGATCTTCAGTAACCCATGCTTGTCGTAAGAGGCGACTAACGGGATCGGGTGGTCAGGCTCGCTGACTTGGTTGACACATGTCATCGTATCCCAGGTGCGCAGATCGATGCTCATGCTGTTGATAACTGGATTGCCTGGTCCAGACTCAATTATTTACAGACCGCCGCCATATAACTGGATTGCTAAACTCACTCACTCAACTTGAATCACATTTCATTTGTTTGTTTTTTATTCAACACTGCAGTCATCAATATTTTCTGTATGACATCCTGTAAATTTATTGCACCGGACAAACCAGTGACAGAAGGCAAGAGCAACTACCCGGGTACCGGGTCACAATGACCTGCCATCTAAGCACCTGTAGTCAGGCTTTGCGTCTAGCTTTGGGTACTTGTTATGTCATATTCTTCAGACTCCTTAAAGAGGCTGTACTATGTAATACACCTTCAAGATTATTGAGTTTTTGTTTCATAGTGCTGATGTCATTTAGACACATCCTTACACTACATGTGAAAAGTGACATCACACAACATGAATCAAGTGAAGTGTGATCTAATGTGTTTCTGCTGATTAAACCAACAACCTGCAATTGCCCCTGGCGGGGATCTATCCTGATTGTTGAATTGTTCTTAAGGAACAGTTTGTGTGGTGCATTGTTCCTCGGAAAACTTCTATCATACCAGGATCCTTAGATGAGACTTTTTCAGGGTGTATAAACTTGTCTTTCAATCTCGCTGTTCAACAAACCAGATTTCCGTTATGTGAAATGGAAATACGAGTTACTGTACTGGCTGATTGGAGATGATGCCCGACGAATGGTATTCGTTATTTCCATATTATAACCTGATCCAATACAAAAAATATCTTTTTATACAAAGTGACTTCATATAATCATTACAGTAGACAAGCGGCAGTTGAAAAGTTCGTCACATTTGAACAGGTCGTGAATCAGTCTTTTCACAAAGAAATATACGAGTTTTCCGATTACATCAAAATACAATTTTATTGTACAAAATACATTGAATTACAAACATGTCGTAAATATGTTTAGGAGGAACACTCCCTGGGTGGGATGAAAGCCTCTGGGTCAGAAATACCGATGGAGATATCGAAGAAACTGAAAGAGAAAACATTATATTGTACATCATAGGAACACATCCATCAGTAAATGTGATGATATCAAACACATCTCCACAGCCTACAGTTAACACAATTGTAACGCTTAGGGACATACAGTGATTGTTCCATAAGTGAGTCATCATTAGTGAAGTTCCCATAGACTTGCATGTTAATTAACTCTTGCATGAATAACTTGTTTATGAAAATTATTCTTGCAACAGTTAATTAACATGTAAGTCTATGGAAATTTCACTAATGATGACTCACTTATGGCCAACTACCGTCTCGTGTAGGCCAATTTACTATATAAAGCAACAAAAAAGGAAAACAATAACAACAAAATAGCAAAACAAAAACCCAACCCCATACAAAAAAAAACCAAAACCCAAAAATTAAAACCCAGATATGTTAAATATCTCCCTGAAGATCTGAATCGAATTTCTGTCGAACCGGGCATGCTTGCTCTTGTAATTCGTTCTTTTAACCAGACCATATGTTCCCATTTGGCTAAAGGTGTACACTTGACTTGCCTCTGCGTGTGTTTGTGACAGATGCCACCAACAAGGCACCATGCACCCACTTTGATAGTAACACATAATGATATAGTGGATATACTATGATATAGTGGAAATAGTGAGGATACTTCTACTTGATTGTGCTTTTAGGCCTGTTTCTGTTTGTGTGGTTTTGTTACTTTTATAGACGTGGCACACTTACTCTGTGAGGACACCCCCAGTGTCGTTGCTGAAAAATCCTGCTTGGATGGGGATACAGTCAGTTCCGCTCGCCGTCATGAAGTAAGGGTCTGGAATAACCGTACAATCGTCAACATAATAATTTAGCAATATTCCAGCTGTATAACTGACTGAGTATGGTTTTACGCCGCTTTTTATCACAGCGTTGGAACCACACATTGTACCCATGTAGGGGAATCGAACTCGAGCCTTTGGTGTGACGAGCGCATGTTTTAACCACTAGGCTACCGCACCGCTCTAGGACAGCGGTCTGTAAATAATCGACTCTGGACCAGACAGTCAAGGGGTTGACATCATGAGCACGTATCCAACCAGTTGGGTTACAATGACATTCATCAAACACGTCAGCAGCCTCACTGTAAGGATCTTCACGGGTGCGAGTAACCCCTGTGCAGTAACTTACTACGTTTATAACGAACTACGGTTATTACGACTTGGTCCAAGGTACTTGCTGTATGTTTTAGTAGAAGTGCGTAAACGAACTACGTTTAAGACGAACTAAATTAGTGGTTCACAATGACCGTAAATTGATAGAACCTGGACTGAAGCTCTGGCTGCGTTTTTCAATTCCTACATGTGTTTTATTCAGAGACAAATAGTTCTTGTGCATCAATAGTTAAAACGTTGAAATGGTAACTCACTGTTGTCAATGGTACCGTCGAAGAGGTTGACGATGACGTGTTCATCAGGAACGCCGGCAGCGCCGATGTCAGCGGTTTCCCCTGAATCTAGCGTCTGGGGGGACGCCAAATGGAATCCAGGGACGTGTGATGCCAGTCTCATTGCATGTGCGGGTACGTAGATTGACTCTGTACTCCTTGCCCTGAGGAAGAATGTATAGAAAGCCGTGAAGGATGGATGGGTTTGATTAGTAAACCCTCATATATACATGCCAATGTGATGTCGGAATAACAGCCCCAAGGGGCACTGGACGGAGACATCAATTACGTTAATCAAACTAAATTAAAATGTTTAAAAACATAACCAGGGACAATCAAGATTCGACCAGCGACCAGCGGAACAGACGATCGCAGTCACGGAGACTTCCTTGCGTCAAATAAATGTCAATATTCGCGACCTGGGGAAAGAAAATCACGTTCCGTTCTATATGGACAGGGTGAATGTGTTTTGAACACTACTGTAGCCTGTAACGTGGAGGCTTGTAGCTCACCTCGTTGAAAAGGTAGAGTTTGTCGAAGAAGTCGACGTCACGCCCCACTTGAACCTCCTCGAATTCCCTGAACCTTCTCTGTCTGTCGTCATAGGCGAAACGGGCTGTACGGTAAAATCTCCTGTCCGGGTCGAACTGGAATGGAAAAGTCCTTACATGTCACAAGTGTATGTGCTTCGCGACACTAACAAATAAAGAAACAGGAAAATTCAAGCGTTCATTTAATATTTTCTTGTTTTCATCACAAACTTTGAATAGCGCTGTGGTGATGAAAACTGGAAAATAATAAAGTAACGCTTGAATTGTCCTGTGTTCCTTTATTTGTTTCTCTACGTATATATATTTTATGCTTACGTTTATGAATCTCGTATCATCATTTTCATCCTGCTTTGTATATACCAAATCGGCTGTCTGCGTTGACTTAGCTAGTTTCGATTATTTAGTAAGTGTTAACAAATACCTTGATGTAGACAAATTCATTTATACGGCTTTTATGAATGTTTGAATTTCAGTTTAATTGGTATTACAGTGTAAATGTTTAGAGTGTCTTGGATTGTAACGAACATCCAAAACATAAAAATGAATAAATATCACTCACTGTAGAAAGACGTCCCTCAAACTGTTCGGGACTTCCTGAAGGAGAACGAATATCAGTCATGTTATAAAACTACTCATGCCTAGTTGTTGAACTCTCAAAATCCATGAAACAGTTATAAGACAAAATAATACTTGTATACCGAATTTCTAGATATTTCTTAAAAAGATATCTCAGACTTAATTTATCGTAAATTACAGAAAATAACTTGATATTGAAAAATATAGAATCATATTTATATTAGATTACAAAAATACCATGTGCTCACCTGCTGAGGTGGAATAAGTACCATGTGAAGAACTAAGATATTCGTTCAAATGGATAATACTTCACTCAAGAGTATAACAGTCAAGCTGAATTATCCTTTTAGACAGGGTCAGTTAGACATGGCCAAGTTCCCCTACAGTACACAGAATTACTAAAGTGGCTCTGAAGAACGTATCAACATATATCATCAAACTTGTTATCAAGAAGGTTCATTCCAGATCAAGACTTGTATTCTGTTCTGGCAGAACAACTAATACACTTACTGCAAGGGTGTGGCTGTTGCGCCAGGGTAACGGCCACAAGCAAGGTCAGGGAGACAACCAGCAACATAGCGGCTTTTTCAGGAGACCACAGGAGGTGAATGATAAGAACAACTTCACTCGTATTTATACCTCCATGTGTTGACCTCGGTCTTATCTTTCAGATTTGGACGACAAAATGAATTGACATAATCCTGGACCAGGTAGTAAGTGAATGTTGTACAAAGGCCTTTTCGCTATGTTTGAATTTATTTTCACTTCACTTTGACAAGCTAGGAACACGTGTAATATGTTTCTTTTGAATGAACAACATTTTAATAGAATGCCTGTAATAGAAATTAAACCTGCTCGTGTTATGGATACAATATACAAATTGTCCAATAAAATGACCACTTAATCCATCAAAGTATATATAAGTGAGTACGAAGGTGTGAAAACTCACAGTGAAGGATGGAATCAAGTATCACGTTGGCGAGCAACGTGTCATATTTAGTAGATTTCTTTGAATGTTTACCATTACCTGTCCGACAGAGAAACCATGATTGAAAAGTTTGGATGTCATTAATGTATGTCTTTCTGTGAAATTTGAATTTACTGAGGCAACTGAGAAATGGAGACACAATAAGGAGCTTAGGTATGTTGCTCGACGTCAAGAGAATTCAGGATGTGTAACATCATCATCATAACTTAATCGTTGTTCATATCAATTAGGTAGCCTAATGGTTAAAGTGTTGGCTCGTCACGCCGAAGACCCAGATTCGAATCCCCACATAGGTACAATGTGTGAAGCCCATTTCTGGTGTCCCCAGCCGTGATGTTGCTGGAATATTGCTAAAAGCGGCGTTAAACTAAACTCAGTCAGTCAATCATATCAATTAAGGTGTCACACATGAAAGCCCACTAAGACTTCAATAGTTTCAAGGCGGTGTATTAACCCCCTTTTGTCTTTATTCTTCGACAAAGAAGTTGCATGCCAATTTCATGAAAACTGTGAAAATGCTGTACAATTACATCCAGATATTGTCCAACTATTTTCGTTAGTAACTTGCGTATGGCATTGTACTAGTGTGAAATGACTGTTTCGGGTTTACAAATGAAAATAGAGTTTACCATTGTGATCTAAACATATCACTAGTAATCGTAGTAAGGCTAAAGGAAATGTTTAAAAAATTATCCAGAAATGAAAACTGGGTGAATGTGACCTAGAGGTTTCAACTTCTGATGCAACCTACCATACTCTTTCCATGAGTATTTCAAGGAACTTCCTCCAGCAGTGTTTGATCAAGATAGGAACATCCAACATTCAGTAAAGGTCTCAAAATGTTTATGGTAGACATGTGGACTTCCGCTGTGTTTATATTATATTTGAACAACTGATCTGCCTTTGCTTGATTTTGTGGCATGGGTGGCAACATAGGGGCAGGATAACGTACCGAAACCATTTCAAAAACACCTCTCGTCATTACTTTGATAGTGATTCATAAACACATGCTTAGTATATTGTCGGGTGTTGACAAACCAAGAAATTAATTGGAGCGAATCCACAATTTTATGTGCCCGGTATGTTCAGCTCTGCACAGGCGCCTACGGTGACTGGGCAACTGGAGGTAACAGCTGACTTTCCTGTGCATGTGTTTGTGACGGATATCACCTACGTGGCAGAATAAGTTCACCTGTATTATCACAATTCCAAAGTGATGCACAAACAAATATCCATGCTATAATCGTAAGTTGACCCTTTCTCCTCTATTTGGTGTTTTGCCACTTGTGTTATAATCAAGTGGGCACTTATGCTACAAATACACTCGACCAGAGAATGTCATGTATCACAAGCCTAAATAATCGAGGCCCTGTTAAAAAAGGTTCACTTGAGAAAAGCCTTTCACATTGTGTGAGCTTATTGTGTCAAACTGTGTGAACGTCGAAACTTATGACGACTCTCGTACAATATTTTGCCCCCCTCGCTATGCAGGTTCATACTCCAGTGACAAAGTGAAGGTCAATTCATATATTTTTATATGACTTTTTTTTATAACTTGAGTAATGTATAACACCACTTCATTGATCCGCACGTGTTACTCTCTGACAGCCATACAACAACAAGCTGTAACGCGGAATAAAATAGTTCATCAAAGATGTGGCATGAGCGTATGAATTCTCAACTTCGTAACAGAAAAATCTTTTCTTCGTGTCTCACGAACTAACTCAGTAGGTCGACCAGGCAGTGTCAGCACTTCGTAATACATTTAGATCAAATACATGACGTCAGAATGAGTAACACGATAGACGTGACGGAAGCGATTTCCAAAGTTGCTGGTGAGTGTTTTGTCATGATTGATCAGTTGGACGACCGTTTATATACTAAGGTAAGTTGATAGACTGCTGTAGACTCTCAGGTGTCAGAATAAAGTTGGATGTGCATTTCTTCGTTTCGATCACTTGGATCAGTGGAAGGGGGGACATGGATTAGAACTTTCTGACTTATGCCAATTTATGCTGAGACATTACGTTAGATTAGATAAAAGATCTAATTTACCAGAAACATCAGTTCTGTATGTATTTACGCCAGTGAATGTTCAGGGGTTTCCCCAGGAATGTGGGACGATTCCATCAGTGTTTATTCCATGTCAAGTATACAGTTTCATGGAAATGTGTCAGCGTTAAATCTGTCGTTTATACAGGTATGGACATCACCTTTGCGGTCATGTGACACATGTCATCGGTTCCCAATCGCGCAGATCGATGCTCATGCTGTTGATCACTGAATTGTCGGGTCCAGACTCGATTATTTACTGACCGCCGCCATATAGCTGGGGTATTGCTGAGTGCGGCGTAAAACTAAAATCAGTCACTCACTCTTTCAATTCAGTGTCTAGCCGAACCTTTAAGGTTTAATCACAAATGATAAAACACTCATCACTTCATAAAACACTGATAAAGGAATCTTAACCATAACAGACATCTGGATTAATGACATTTCTATGATATAAGCGGAACAATGTTGGATTACAATTGTTATACACATCCTGGAACCAAACTATTAGAAATAATAGGATGATACCTATCAACAATATGAACATTACCATTTGTAAGAAAAGCCTCTTTACAGGCTCAAGACTTTTCTATGATAGACTTATATCAGATGAAAATAAGCTTAAGATATGTTTGAAATGGGAAAATGTTTCAAATGTGACTTTGAACGTCATAAGATATTCAGTATTTATAGACATGGTTTAAAAGGTTTTGAATTTCAACTTAAATTCTTACATTATATATATTCTAAAAGGGAGCTTTTGAAAATGAAACTGATAGATTCTGACTGATAGATTTTTGTAATGACATACAGGAAACAATGGAGACTTGGATCAATACATACCTTGAAAAAGAAATCAAAGTAACAAAATGTCTGGTTTGGTTTGGCACTTTACAAGTCAACAAAGTACTAACCAAGATATTTACGATTACACTTGTTGTAACATGGTGACACTGAACACGTATTCTCTCAGTGTGAAATCAGTGCTTAGACACCAATACAATACCGTAGTCACGGTACTAAATGACCTGGTTGAACTGTCAATATAAGCTGATGTACAAAAGAAATTACACACATGGAGCTTTGCGACTACTTGTAAAAAACCCGAACGTAAATATTTTGAAAAGTATTTTGATTCCGACTTATAAGTCTCAAATATTCAGTTTACTTTCGGTTTCTACGAAAATTTCAAAGAGCGTCAAAAGACTCCAAAATTGTTTGATAATGTTACAAGGCATCAGTAAAGCTTCCTAGAAGCTGTGTGGTATACATGGAAGATGTTTCCAAATTGACATATCAATGCAAGGACGATGTCTGATGGAAGTCACTAATGGAAGACTAATACCATGTATCCATGTTACTTTAGGTGAACGTTTGACTTGGCTTTGCATGCGTTTGAGATATGTGCCAACGGGGGAACAAATACACTAAACGCCAAAAGAAACGTTTCCCTCCTTCCTTAATGACGGAGATACCTATCTTCAGCTGGCGTTGTGATGCGTGGACGTCCACTTCTTGGTCTGTCTACGGTGACCCCAGTCTGTCTCAAGCCCTAAATACGTCTTATAACCGTGATACGGTGGCGTTGGCAACAGCAGTGAATGTTGACCCCATCTGCACCATCCCAATGGTTCTTTCTCTCTCTTCTGTTAATCGTGGCATATGTCTCGTACTTGTGTATTGGATCATGTATTCTAGGCTCTCTTTATACCCTATAGAATCATTCCACGTGTGAAATAGATGTAAATACTGCTTGAATATTGCTGCGTTTTGGCGATTGATATTTCTATGTGTAAACAGAAAATGGAAAAGTGTTACTTTGCAAGCAAAATTATTAACAAAGATAATTTTAGATGTTCCTAAACATTTTTTCACAATATCAAAGACACGTTTTACTTGTTTTCACTAATGCAAATCAGCAGAAAATGTTTTAAAAGACTGAAATCATAGGAATGATTATTTTACAATTTTACATACTCTACAACAGTTGTTTCTTGTTAAAGTAGTTGAAAAATGGTGACTTTAAATGGTTCATCATTATCCCAAAGCACTATTATTGGTTTATTTCGGCAGGGACGAATATAGGACAATTTAACTCTTCTGAAAAAGATGCATTTCACCTAAAAATGAATGCATTTGAGAATTGTTTTTCGTGATTAGCATAAAGCTGTGTTGTTAAGCTTTCTTGTAAACTAATATCTTCTGACATATCTTTGATAGTGTTTCAGTAGGCCTAATTCATAAAGGTAGGAGGGTAACGTTTCTTTTGGCGTCTTATGTATAAGCCAACCTGTTCACGAACACCTGTATAACTGATAGTGATTTAAGTACCCATGCGGAGGGTATACCTGTGTTTCTTATGATCATGAAATGTGTTTTGCAGCTTTAATTTCCCACAGTGGCAGCACAGTGAAACTTTCGTTGAACTAGCACGATAGAACAGACATGGAATTCCTTCACATATATCTGTACTAGTGGCACTCTATCAGTAAGGCCAGTCACGTGATCACACCAGGTCTCGTTGTGCACAGATAGATGGTCACCTACATTTGACATGTACCTGCTTCTTTACCAGGGTTAAGAGATACCACGAGTGTGTGTGTAGTGACGTCAGTGGAGCAGGATACGCTAACATTATCGCTAACACCTGGTTTCAGCACAGTGTCATACAGAGTCATAAACATATGTTCATTGTGTGAAATCGTGTAACCGTAGGACACATTTCTTGTTCCTTGAACCCCTTTTGAGGATTTCATTATTCAGATTTGCTTTTGTTATTGGGTATTCCATGCAAGGATCGTGATTCTAAGAAACTGAGTTAGCCAGAAATTACAAATCTAAGAACAACTGCGGGCATTAGTATGTCAATATATCTCTAGTAGTGAGGAAGTGAGTGAGTGAGTATGGTTTTACGCCGCTTTTGCAGTATCCCAGCAATATTTCCAGCAATATCACGGCTAGGGGACACCAGAAATAGGCTTCACACATTGTACTCATGTGGGGAATAGAACCCGGGTCTTCGGCGTGATGAGGGGAGCCTTTACCATTAGGATACCCCACCGCCCCTATACCTCTGAAGTAACCATTTGGCAAAGATATTCCCCCTGCGAGAATCTTTCCTACATTGTAACAAGCATTATCACATACTTTACTACCACTGACTGACTGAGTTTAGTTTTTACGCCGCATTTAGCAATATTCCAGCAATATCACGGCGGGGGACACCAGAAATGGGCTTAACACATTGTGCCCATGTGGGGAATCGAACCCGGGCCTTCGGCGTGACGAGCCAACGCTTTAACCACTAGGCTACCCCACCGCCCCCTTTACTACCAAGTGTCCTTCATCAAAAACTGTGTTACACGTAGCATCATGTTCGTTCTCTTCATTATCCTAAGTATTTCAATACCACTTCCATCTACATGGGGCGGTGGGGTAGCCTTGTGGTTAAAGCGTTAGTTCGTCACGCCGAAGGCCCGGGTTCGATGGGTACTATGTGTGAAGCCCATTTCTGGTTTCCCCAGTCGTGATATTGTTGGAATACTGCAAAAAGCGGCGTAAAACCATACTCATACCCCATTTCTTGTGTCCCCCCACCGTGATATTGCTGGAATATTGCTAAAAGCGGCGTAAAACCCAACTCACTCACTCACGCCATCTACAAAACATGAACACTTACATTAAATTAAAAATGGTCTCATATTATATTTATATCGATGGCTTGTTTCAATAACTTTAATAACTAAATCCAATATCGTGAATGAAAACCATCAGTTAAGTACAGATAATATTATTCATGTATATATCTCTACAATACACAATAGTAAGACACGGTAACAACAGATCTATTTTATTACAAAAACATCTACTATCTGTACAGAAACACAGGATGAGATATTGATCTGACATTTAGACAGTGACATTTGGATGACATTCCGCTGGAGGGGTGAATGCCTTTGCATCGGTCGACAAAGTGATATCATAAAATCTGTAATTAGACAAAGATGTGAGTATACTCTGTGACAGAAGCGGGTATGTACGCGCGATGAACGCTTATTGAGGGTGGCATTCCTGAGGGGGGATGAACGCATCAGGGTCGCGGAGTCCAAGAGTGATATCGTAAAATCTGCAAGCAAGAATGATGTGTGATACCCGCATACATATCAAACCACAGAAGCCATAACAACACATGCATTTAGTCATCTGATATCAAGTTAAAAACAACAACGAGCTGATACTTTTTGTGGTAATGATGACATAAAATGTACGTATGAATTTGACAAAAACTGCACAATTTCATCCCTGAAGTCAGTACTTCGATACGAATATGATATTGACATTTAATCATCTGTAATGTTTCAGCTATGCAGTGTACACACCAATGAAGGGGATTTGTCAACAACAGGCCAAACTAGATAACAAACGTTTAAATTTCCTTCTTTTTTTATTGAAAGCTTGTTAGTCAAAGTATTTTACTGAATCTATAATGTTTAAGAAAAGTAGTGAATTTATCAAGAACATAAAAGAGCTTTGAAAGTTTGTTCCTGAGCATGTGTATAAAGTATCCCAGTATTTGTACTATGTCTTAGATATTATTCATTGAGAGAGGTGGGTCAATAGCAGGCATATTGTCTGAGGTGAGGTGAAATTGGGTTTAACGTCGTGCTTGAGAATATTTCGCTCATATGACGACCTGTATGCGTGTGTATGTGGATGTACGGCTGCTTGTACTAGCCCAGATTTAAGCTGGGTTTATAGTGCTAGCCCACTGAGATACCATGCCGCAGTGAAGCATGAATACCCCACTCAGACACATTATACTGACTCCGAGCCGACCAGTCCTTGTTGTAGCCATTAATGCCGAGCGCCAGGCAGGGACCAACAAGTGCCATATTTTAACGTCTTTTGGTATGACGCGGTCGGGGATCGAACCCGCGACCTTCCGCTCTCCGGGTGCACGCTCTAACCACTACACCACGGAGGCGGTCCATATTGTCTGAAGGAAACATTCATATCTGACTGAAAGGTATGACTGTGACTGTCATGATGGTAACTCACTGTCTGAGAACACCACCGGTGCTGTTGCTGTAGAAGCCGGCAGTGACGGGCACGCAGTCCTCGATGGTGGCGATGATGAAGTAGGGATCTGGAAGGTTACCACCGTTCTTAGTTGACATCACACACATGTATTCATCCTATATACCTTTCAGGTTCTATATTATCAGGTGGTCTTGATATTACTGCTTGCATATTCTGGCATAAGAATTCTTTCCTTGACTGTTTTAGTAATTACAGAATATTTCATGTATAAACATTTTCTTGCAGCTGATTTGCGCCCCACCCCCACCCCACCCCCACCCCCTCATTTCATTTAAATAATTCATATAACTAAATAATCAAATAATTCATACAACATATTCCAACGTATCTATGTATCTTATGCAATGCTTCTATATACCGTCATACTGCGTAACCAAATTATTCAAATTCGAGTGTTTCGTACTCAGGTACACTCTTTTGCTGTTGATGTATGTAAGTGTTTATGTACAGGTAGTATATAACAGTTAATGTACTGTATTAGGTTATGCATGTAAAATCTGGAATTGTGCTAGTACTGGAAGGATATATTTGTTCTCACGTTTTATGACCAATGCAATCGACACTGGTTTTCTTTGGCATTGCGGTATATTATGTTATGGCTCAAGAGATTAACTCACTTCCGTCAGTAGTGCCGTCGAAGTTGGCGATGGTCACGTGTTCATCGGGAATGCCAGATGCGCCAATGACGCCCTCGCCTCTAAACCTGGCGTCCTGGGGGACGGCGAATGGAATCCAGGGGCGGGTGAGAGTGGTGATGGTACAGTTGCGGGTGCGCAGGTTCAAACGGTACTCCAGGTTCTACAGATTACAAGGAGATTATAGGTGCAGCTTCGCCATCATCATCATCATCATCATCATCATCATCGTCGTCATCGTCATCACCACTATGTGATGGTAAATGCATGGTCTGACCAACTCCAATACAACAAATGTAGTCTATATAGATCTGTAGTAGTTGTTTGACAATACTGGAATTCAGTGGCACTGAAACGTGACCTAGGTTTCTTGATTGCCTCACATGCTATAAGAGACACACACAGACAGTTCATGATACGTTTATGTTTGCTTAACGTTGCACTCAAAAATATCCCAACTATATGACGCAGGTCCGCAGATACTCGAGTCTGGACCAGACAATCCAGTGATTGATACGCTTGGGTACGATAACAAACAAAACCGAAAACCCCATCCACATAAGTCACCCCTTGAGACAGGTAAATGTTTGTGTGGTCTTATTCTTACAAGGATCTCTACGAGGGAGTTTCTGCAATGAGTGAGTGAGTTTAGTTTTACGCCGCACTCAGCAATATTCCAGCTATATGGCGGCGGTCTGTAAATAATCAAGTCTGGACCAGACAATCCAGTGATCAACAGCATGAGCATCGACCTGCGCATTTGGGAACCGATGGCATGTGTCAACCAAGTCAGCGAGCCTGACCACCCGATCCCTTTACTCGCCTCTTACGACAAGCATGGGTTACTGAAGGATCTTCACGGGTAGTTTATGCAATGCCCCTAACACTGCATATACACATAAGTGCCGTGGTGTTTACGAGTTATTCGCTGTCTGCCACTGATGCGTGTTCTTGTGTAGACTCACCAGGTTGTGGAGGTACAGTCTGTCATAGTACTCTCTGTCACGTCCAATCTCCATCTCCTCAATCTCGCGGAAACGTCTGTTCGTGTCATCATAAGCAAAGCGCCCGAACGCACGGAACTGCCTGTCCTCATCGTACTGAAGACAGAACCATGTTTCTACTTACATGTGCATGTTCAAAACGCTAATATTATTACTTTTGTTAGTGGATCAGTGTGTACTCACTTTCATTTTCAGCTCCTTGAGGAGTATACAACCCAAGATGGTTTCACGGCCATATTGCAATCTCATCCTACTGGGTACCCATTCACTGCTGGTTGCTAATTTACACTGGAATACTTGCAATCTCACGCAGCTCTTTACTCTACTAGATATAACGATCTGACAAACACTCCGTCAGAAGTCGCGTCGGATGTATTTTGTAATGAGCCCAACAAACATGGATGTGTCTCTAGAGCAGTACTGGTTTCTCTATCTCGAACTTAAACTGGAAGTTCCGAAAGGAGAATAATAAAGGTTATTCTGAGTGCAATGACATTTATCCCCACCCCTCTACCCCCATAGGTTGATGTCAGTTTGATTTCTGTTTGTATTTTTCTTGTTGCAGTGATAAAATGTAATGATTTCATATTATTAATTTAGTATAAATACCTTAAAATGAATTTTAAAAACATGTATAAAACCAACTTCCAAGACATAATAATGAAATCAGAAATCGACGGAAATAATAAGTGTCGGACAAAATATTCATATTGTGATTATCAAAATACAATTTCACTCTAAAACAAAAAGTATAGTCCAGCTGGATGAGACTGTTGTTTATTATAGACTATTGGGAGGTTTGATGGATGAATCCAATGTATGGAAAACGTACTATCAATAGAGAATCTTCCTTCGAACTGACGTGGACTCTCTGAAAGATGAAAATAGACAACATTAGAAAACAGACAATAAGCAACAGTAAGGTGGTTCTGAAGTAGCACGTAATACGTCAACACACACGAAGTACTTATCGAGGATAGGGTCCTTCTCCAAAGTCAACAGAAAAATGTTGTCCCTTTATTCGCCCAAGTAATTTCAACTTCTTGTGCAGTGATTTTTACGAGAGGGTTCATCTCATCATATTTACTTATTAAAAGGAAACGAGGTGAAGAAATGGGCATAACATCGATTCTAAAAAAGGACAAATATACAAAAACCTTTAATGTTTAACGATAAAACATCAACCAATTCAATATGAAATACATGTATATCAAACTGTAGTGGCATGACGGGAACAAAGACTAATTTCTTTCTGTACCATGACATGTAAGTAAAACATAAGATACTATAAGTATTACGAATTCATCTCCATTGCTTTTGCTTCATTTTGCTTTTTTCATTACTTAACAGCAAAAACACATGCATTATACATACTGGCACTGTATGGTAATAATGAGAGTGAAGATTCCCATACGGAACATGTACGACTCAGTAGAGAGCTAGGTATGTCATGTTAAGTGATGTAGACAGGATGACCTACCACATGGATGGGGCTGTTGAGCCAGGGCCACTGCGGCCAGCAGAACCAGGCTTACGATGGTGAACATGACGGCACGAACAAAGGTCCCCCGGTCACGTGGCCCACCTTTATATACAGGCTGTCCGGTCACATGACACACCTGATAAAAAGACTTATAGCACCGTTAAGTTCCAGAAGTGCAGCTCGGCGTCGAAGAAGACGTGGCATGTCTTTGAGCTATCGTCGATGCTTCAAAATGTTATATATGCCCTGAAATTTACATACAATGACTTCCAAAATCTGTATATCTTGTCTAAAACTAATGCAATAGTAGGGAGACTTACGTAATATAAAACGTCCACATCAACAATTAACTTAACGGTTATCCAGTGAAATATTGCTTTGATATAGCGGTGAATGGATTATAGGAATGGATCACTGATAATTTGTGATGACATCATTGGTTGCAAAATAACACAGAAAGTCTTGAAATACAGCAGATATTAAAATGGTCTATTTTACCATCATAATTTCCTGCCATTCTTTGTCCACGATTATAAAAGTATTTAATGCAGTTTCGTAGAAGTCCTTTTTATGGCTCTCCATAACGTTCTCAGTAGCTGATATTATGTAAGCGTTCGATCCACCTGGGCTCCGCCATGTGCTTTGTAGGAAAATATTAATCAACTGACTGAGCCATGTTTTGAAGAAGTCTCAATTTCATTCCGTAACTGTCTCAAACATGCATCATCATATGCGCAGTTTATTGTCGGGCCTTTAGGAAGATAGTCCACCCCGATGACGGCCTCTCTATCCGACAACCCAGGCGGTATAACCTTTTCCCCTCATCGGACAGTCTGTCCCTCATTTGGGGGCTGGATTATATCATCCAAAACTGTGTTCCACTCGAGATATTGCTTGTGTGAGATCAAACAATGTCTCCTAGATTTTTGTACAATGCCCTGACAATGCTATGACGTCATAAATTTGATGACGTCACAATGCTATGACATTGCTGCACTGCAAGTCTAATGGCAGTAACGTGTTCAGAGATATACTTTTTTCACTGAAAACTAGTGAAGAGTGATTTTAGGTATAGGTATAGAATGTTAGGTATAGAATCTCGCCCTCGTGTCTTCTGATATCAAATATATCAACACTCGTTGATAAAAGTAAAAATATCCTCGGCAAGACTCGAATATTTGTAACTTTATGAACTCATGGTGATATAGTTCATATCAAAACACACTCTGGTGAGATTCTCTGTATGTTATGATGACTCTACTGAAAAAAGGATTTACTCGAAACCCCTTCGACAATGTCTGCTTTCGGTTTGTCAGTCATATCAAGTCGTATCGGCAGGAAAGTTCGACGTGATGCATTTATTAGACACGTACCACTTTGGTGATACACACGCGTATGTATATATGTGAAAACAATATATCCAGCAGATCTAAAACTAACGGTTTACTGCCATCGTAACACAAATTAACCTTAACTACATTTTTCTGAAATAATATTTTCAACAATTTGGTTCATACCATTTGTTTTGAATTTGTAAATGTTGATATTTTTACACGGAGAAATTTTCTTATACCTCAGCAGCAGATGGAAGAAAGGAGTACACAGATGTGCTCATCTTCTTCTAGTATTGCGAATGGGCCACCATTGCAGGCCAACACTTCCAGCTCTTGAAGCAGAACACGCCTGAATCTGAGGAGTATCTTGTGGAAATTCCTTTGGTTTCAAGTGTTGTTGATTTGTTTGAGTTACGTTTCTAAAGTATTCATTGGAAATATGCGTGGAACAATTGCTTAATGAGGCGGCTCATGCTTGGATTTCTTCTTCAGCGTGGTTGCACGAGTCTGCATATACATCAGTGTGGGTTCCACAGTCATTGACTAACGTACTGGATATTGAACAGGGGTCGCTATGATTATCACCATTTACAGCGAATGTTATGAGGCATTTATCAACACAAATACGTGACCGTCGTCGTCTTGCAGTTTCTCATATGTGGAAAGAAATGTATTCCTCCTACTGCTACTACTACTACGACCACTATTACTACTCCTACTCTTGATACTACTACTACGACCACTATTACTACTCCTGCTACTACTACCACTACGACCACTATTACTACTCCTACTCCTGCTACTACCACTACGACCACTATTACTACTCCTACTCCTGCTACTACTACTACGACCACTATTACTACTCCTACTCCTGCTACTACCACTACGACCACTATTACTACTCCTTCCCCTCCTGCTACCACTACGACCACTATTACTACTCCTACTCCTGCTACTACTACTACGACCACTATTACTACTCCTTCCCCTCCTGCTACCACTACGACCACTATTACTACTCTTACTCCTGCTACTACCACTACGACCACTATTACTACTCCTTCCCCTCCTACTACCACTACGACCACTATTACTACTCCTACTACTACCACTACGACCACTATTACTACTCCTACTCCTGCTACCACTACTACGACCACTATTACAACTCCTACTGCTACTACTACGACCACTATTACTACTCCTACTGCTACCCCCACGACCCCTTTTACTACTCCTACCACTACGACCACTATTACTACTCCTACTGCTACCACTACGACCACTATTATTACCCCTACTCCTGCTGCTACCACTATTACTACTCCTACTCCTACTGCTACTACTACGACCACTATTACTACTCCTACTAGTCCTGCTACTACCACTACGACCACTATTACTACTCCTGCTACTACCACTACGACCACTATTACTACTCCTACTCCTGCTACTACCACTACGACCACTATAACAACTCCTACTAGTCCTGCTACTACCACTACGACCACTATTACTAATCCTGCTACTACCACTACGACCACTATTACTACTTCTACTCCTGCTACTACCACTACGACCACTATAACAACTCCTACTAGTCCTGCTACTACAACTACGACCACTATTACTACTCCTGCTACTACCACTACGACCACTATAACAACTCCTACTAGTCCTGCTACTACAACTACGACCACTATTACTACTTCTACTCCTCCTGCTACCACTACGACCACTATTACTACTTCTACTCCTGCTACTACCACTACGACCACTATTACTACTCCTACTCCTGCTACCACTACTACGACCACTATTACAACTCCTACTGCTACTACTACGACCACTATTACTACTCCTACTGCTACCCCCACGACCCCTTTTACTACTCCTACCACTACGACCACTATTACTACTCCTACTGCTACCACTACGACCACTATTATTACCCCTACTCCTGCTGCTACCACTATTACTACTCCTACTCCTACTGCTACTACTACGACCACTATTACTACTCCTACTAGTCCTGCTACTACCACTACGACCACTATTACTACTCCTGCTACTACCACTACGACCACTATTACTACCCTAATACTCCCACTACGACCACCTCATAACAACCTACTAGTCCTACCACTACTCCATTCACCCCTGCCAGTACCACTGACCACTTATTACTTACAGCCACCCTGCTACTACCACTACACCACCATCCTACTAGTCCTGCTACCATGACCACTACGACCCACTATTACTGTCACTACTACTACTGCTACTACATTACCACACTACTAGTCCTGCTACCACTCACTACGACCACTTATTACTTCTACTCCTGTTACTACCACTACGACCACTATAACAACCCTACTATTCCCTACTACAACTACGACCACTATTACTACTCCTGCTACTACCACTACCATCATGACCACTATAACAACTCCTACTAGTCCTGCTACTACAACTACGACCACTATTACTACTCCTGCTACTACCACTACGACCACTATAACAACTCCTACTAGTCCTGCTACTACCACTACGACCACTATTACTACTCCTACTCCTCCCTGCTACCACTACGACCACTATTACTACTCCTACTGCTACCACTACGACCACTATTACTACTCCTGCTCCTGCTACTACCACTACGACCACTATTACTACTCCTACTGCTACTACTACTACGACCACTATTACTACTCCTGCTCCTGCTACTACTACAACGACCACTATTACTACTCCTACTGCTACTACGACCACAATTACTACTCCTACTGCTACTACTACTACGACCACTATTACTACTCCTGCTACTACCACTACGACCACTATAACAACTCCTACTAGTCCTGCTACTACCACTACGACCACTATTACTACTCCTACTCCTCCTGCTACCACTACGACCACTATTACTACTCCTACTGCTACCACTACGACCACTATTACTACTCCTGCTCCTGCTACTACCACTACGACCACTATTACTACTCCTACTGCTACTACTACTACGACCACTATTACTACTCCTGCTCCTGCTACTACTACAACGACCACTATTACTACTCCTACTGCTACTACGACCACAATTACTACTCCTACTGCTACTACTACTACGACCACTATTACTACTCCTGCTACTACTACTACGACCACTATTACTACTCCTACTGCTACTACTACTACGACCACTATTACTACTCCTACTGCTACTACTACTACGACCACTATTACTACACCTACTGCTACTACTACTACGACCACTATTACTACTCCTGTCCTGCTACTACCACTACGACCACTATTACTACTCCTACTGCTGCTACCACTACTACGACCACTATTACTTTTCCTACTACTGTTCTGCTACTAACACATGACCACTATTACTACTCCTACTCCTACTACCACTACTGGAACGACCTCACTCCACATAACTCCTACTACTACTACTATATTTACTACCCTACCACTACTACGACTACCTTTCCATAACTACTACTACTACCTGCTACTACTACTATGACCACTATTACTACTCAAGCTACTACTACGACTACTACTACTCCTACTCCTGACTACATACTTCACTATTACAACCATCTACTACTACTACTACTACACATGACCACCATTACTACTCCTACTTAGTCCCTGCTACTACCACTACGACCACTATTACTACTCCTACTCCTGCTACCACTATTACAACTCCTACTGCTACTACCACGACCACTATTACTACTCCTACCACTACGACCACTATTACTACCTAC